TGATTCTTGAAGGGCATTCACCTTTACAATACATGTTGAAGAAAGAGTGTGAGGTTGCACTTTGTAGTTGATCTGTGACGGGCAGAGCCGTGCATCCGCGACCCAGGCGGTGCCAGTTCTGGTGCCCCAGTCACAGCTGCCTTGGGCTTTCCATTGTGCAGATAATTTGCAACTCTAAGCAGAAACATGAACTTCTTTGCCATGGTTCACTGGCAATTTTATCATTATATTTATACAGCAAGCCGGCTGACGACTCAAACTCCCACAGAAAGTGGCAGGGTACAGATCTGTAGGCGTCTTTAAAGGGACAGCCTTGATAAATTATAACCGAGATATTTTCTCTTGTATTAGCTATTTGAAATAAAAATAAGGCATGAACAAAAACTTATGCACCCATATGGGAAAAGCATAAGATTTCATACAGCATGCAAGATTTAAAAAAATGCATTATCCTCATGCATGACACAAGCTTGGTTACCAAATCTCCAAAGTGTGAAATGAAGTCCATCTCCATAAAATATTTATGTTTGCACTAATTATTCTCTGAAATGCAACTCTCTTGAGCTCCAACATTGCTCAATCTCCTGTTCTTGCTTGCAGTAATTTTTAATTCTATGACAAACCTCACCATTCTAAGGTTATGAGACAAGTTCAGAAGTCTAGGTTAACAATCATGAAATTTTAAAAAAAAGTTTGTGTTCTCCATATTAGGATTTAGAGCCCACTTTCTTAACCTTTTCTTTGCAATGAAGAACAAAAACTTACCAAAATTCCCCCATAAGCTCTAAAACTTCACATTCATTTATCACAAAATTTTTTTGGGATCAAAGACTTGTTAATCAAATATCCACCTGAAATGGTGGCACTGGCTAGTTATTTTAGTGACTTTTTCCTACAAAAACTTGCTTAGTAAATAAGATATTATTATATTTGATCTTCTTTGTAAATCAGAAAAATCTTCTGCAATTATTGTTGGAATATCCATGTAATGGATTATTTACATGGGTAGCTCGAAATTCGATCAAATGGCCACAGAGTAGCGGTCACTCACTCCTTGAAGGTAAAATTCAGATTATTCAAGTATGATAGATAAGAGTACCCGCCTCTACTTGGCTCATACCAAGCTTTCTGAAGTGGAGGAGGACGTATTATAAACTGGTTTATGCAAAATGCCATTTTTCAGACAGATCCCTACACCTTTTAATTTCCATGTGTGTGTTTGAATGTAACGTTCCCACGGTAATGGATCCTGGTTTGGAAAATTTGGCTTATGGTGTCATTGTGCTTGAAAATGGTCAAAATGTGTAAGGGAGCTGTAAATGAGAGATTCAATAGCAGAAAAGTGAAGAAACAGATGGATTTGTGAACGGGGCATGTAGAATAGGAGTAGAGGCATTAGCTTCTACTATTTTATTAACCATGTACTGTCAGGATAATCATGAGTTCATCAGCCTTCCAATTCTTGAGAAAAACTTCTCTGCTAACTGAAAGTGGGTAAGGAGAATAGGCTCATAAAAAACCTATGACATACTTAGAAAACTTTCAACTTAAGTCATCTTCTCTTAATATTACAAACATATAACCATGATGCTGCTCTTCAGTTAAACCTTTTTAATGTCATTTTAATGTCAAGGTGAGGATGTCTTAAATGAAGTGTTTTATTTGACCTTTACCTGATTTCCACTCCAAAGGAGTGGAACTGAGGAAAGTACACAGAAGGTATTATAGAAGATCCTTTCTGCCCTTTGGACAACTTTAACAATAAACAAAATGTCCTTTTTCATGCACAAAGTAAAAGCCTCTTCAGAGACTGTCAGGGGAGTTTAGATGACAAACTGTGATGCAGTAATCTGCAATCCCATTAATACTTTCTTTGTGAGAGGTGAAATTATAGGTCAGAATATCTGACACATCTCTGAATGCAAACACCTTTTGAGCTAGATACTGAATTTTCAAGGAAAGATGGGGACAGAAGTGTAGAAGAAGCACTATTTTCAATTGGTATAGAAAACTAATGAAGATTGGATTAGATTACCTTTTGACCAAGCTGCCATTTTACTAATTACACATACAATTTGTGTATATGTTCTGTGATTTTATACTTTGCATGGCCAAAAACTGCAACAGCAGCATTCCCTGTGGAACCCTTTCCCTACAAAGCTCTTTGGTAAGTCTCAGATTGTTCCCTTCAGTTACATGTATATATTCTTCAGGTGAAACTATCAGAAGGCATCTGCACCAAACTTACAACACGCTGGTGAAAAAAGACAACTGTTAAAATTAATTCTATTCCAACTTCTCAATCCAGATCCACAGCTTATTTTTAAATTTTTTTTTTACTTATTTCCTCTATTTAAAAAAAATAGAAACAGGCTTGAAGGGTTTTATTACCCAAAATGAATTTCTGATTGTCTCAAAAGAATTCTCATATGAACTTTGGTGAAAACAGAGTTATTTTTGTAAAATACCACTGGTACTGAATATCATTGACTTAAGTTTTGGGATAATCTCTTTCAGTGAAAAATGTGTCTTGAGAAGTAAAGCAGGCTGTTCTTTATGCACAGATATATGTTGCATGCAAACAACAAAAATCGATTTTAAAGCTAGTATGGCAGCAACTGTCTGCCTTGTTGCACATGGCAAGCTGTTGGGATATTTACTCGCAGCTGGCACTTGCTATTGCTTTTGCAGATGTAGAAAAGCCAGGTCAGAGGCTACTGATAGAGAAGCCCTGCTGAGCCCACCACTTGCAGGAGCGAGCACACCTCCAGGGAGGTGGTGGCTCGTTTGGCTGGGTCAGGTGGAGCTGGTGGCTGCCGGGGCCGTGCTGGCTGGTGGCCCGGAGCTGGGCTCCTAGGGTCAGCAGGCCGGCAGCCTGGCCGTGCCTTTGGGCTCCGGGGATCTTGAGGAAAGGCCTGGGTTTTTGCAGTTTGGCAGTGGAAAGTCCTCTGCTGGTAATTAAAGCAGATGAATAGAAAAGGCAAAGCTGGAGTGCATCAGACTTGCATAACCCGTTTGAATCTCTTCTAGCAAGTTATTCCCAAATAGCTGCAGCTAAGCTTTGACTTACAACTGCAGCCAAAAACTTCAGGGCTTGGCAGAGCAGGGGCTCTCACAGCTTGCTGTGACAGGAGTCAGGCAAGGTATTCGAGAGGAGTCAGGAATTCCTCAGCATCCATAATAATGAACATCTGCTCTTCCGCACAAGCAAACAAGAAATACCTCTCGCTGCAAGAAACTATAGATGTTCTCATACCTTTGAGTCTGCTTTCAGGTGCACAGCTGCAAGTTACAAACGTTATTCCTCCCCTGTCCTTTAGCTCTGGGCTATAAGTTTCACCAGCCCCTGGTGAAACCCTACAAGACACCAGCCCCTGCCCTGGGACTGGCCCAATGCTGCCAGGGATGGCTCAGTGTCCCTCCTAACAGAGCAACAGACTTTCCAGGGGCTCCACCACAGACACCAAGCAGCTCTACTGCCTCCTAATTTACACAAATATGCCTTTCTGGTTCTCACCCCTTCATCTGCAGCTGGAAGCTTGGTGGTACGTTTGTGGTCTAAAGCCTTTGCCAGCCCTGAGAACTGAGCTGTGGTTTGGGGCAGCTGGCGGGGAGGCAGGGTTTCACTGACCGATGTGTCCCCTCTAGGCCAACACTTCCAAAGCAAGCCACAGAATGACTCTGGAAAAGGTATTAGAAGGGAGTTTTACAGAAGTTACCTCTCTCCTGGCAATTTCCCTTGGTCTATTTAGGCTTTGAAGCTTTAGGCTGAAATACAGACTTCAACACGGCAAATATGAGAAGCATAAATTGTGGCACTGTATGAGTTTTTTCTTTTGAGATATCCTTACAATGTACGTACAAGTGTAAAATAGGGTTGCAAAGAACAGGTCTATCATGTATTCTGGTGTAGAAATAACTGCTGGGGAAATCTGAGGTGCTCTCTCAAACAACTTTTTATTCCTTGATTTTATGCATGAAGTAGGCAGCAGAGGGCTTGGCAAACTAAAATGCTTGCTGTGTTCTTCATACAGCTAAGCACCTCATTCATTTAATAATTTGTATATTCCTTTAGATATGGTGTATTGATAAAGTACAATAAGGCAAAATGATAGATTGAGGATAGACAGATAGAGGGCCTTCACCACCACTTTTTAATCAACTGATACGTACTGCACTTGCAAAGTTTTGCAGTATTACTAATAAAACTATTGCTGCAAACCATACAAAATAATGCATGGTCCCTCCAGGGATAAACATTAGTGAAAATCAGAAAATCAGCCATAATTGTACCTTTGACGCAGCCTTGATTTAAGAAGGCAAAAAGCCTGAGCTGGTTTCTCAATTAGATGAGTTTTTGGAGAACAAGACTTTGCTTGTGATTGTCGTGTTTTGCAGATAAGGAGAATATTTTAGGCTCTAGCTCTGTCCGTAATGATGCAGTTTCAAAAGCAATGCACACATTTGAAAAACAAAAGAGAAGCACAGTCCTAGGCATTCTTGGCTTCATTACATTCCTGTGCTCATTCATCTCCATTTCAACTGTAAAGGGATAAGTGAGCTGATTGAGGAAGGATAACAGATCAGAGAGAAACATATTTGGAAGTCTAATAAACACAGGTAACTTGGAATGTGTTTTTTTCCTAAGGTAACTCACCACTGAAAGCAGACACAGCAAAATACTGTGGGGAAGTCCTGAATCAAAATTCAGTAACCTACAGTCTGTTAAATGTTGCATTTCTCACACTGGATAAATTAAGCATCTAATATTTGCAGGCACAAACAAAAAACTGAACTGTTGTAGCAGACAAGTGTTAAAAGCATAAACCTCAAAGCAGTTAATAGCCACTAGCATTCAGTGCTGCATGATATGAACAGAATATTTTTGAATGTATTTCGGATACATGTAATCTCAAAACCAGATCTGCAGTATGATAAAGTTCCTATGAATACTACATGTTCATTAGAGGAAAAAAAAAAAAAAAAGCAGTTGTCCTTACCTGCTATTGCTTCAAGACTAGGAATTGCAATAGTGCTGTAAGTGCTAATACATTTACAGGACCACGTGCGAACGAAGGTTTCCTCTGCATTTTCCAGGCCTGGCAATCTGTCCATGAAGAAAGAGCCCCACTGTTTAGATACAAAGTAAGGAGCTTTGGGCTGATCTCCCTGAAAGAAAAATAAATAAATATGTAACTTTAAAAAAATAAAAACCTTCTTTCTTTATCCAACCACAAACATTACTCCAAGGAACTCCAGTGATTCTCTGATTTTTGGGGAAAAGTGTATTGTATCTCAGGAGGAGATACTGTATTGTATCTCTCTAAAATACTAGAAAGAAAAACAGTAACAATCTTCTTCCTCTAAGTCCCCAAGCTCCTGTTTATGCAATTTATGGATTCCATAGGACATAAAAAATTGGCTGCAAATATTTTCCCTTTAAAAATCTTCCCTTTCCCCTGTTTTTCTGTTTTCAATAGTGTGAATAGCCTGCTGCCTTTCTCTGCTGGAGAAGCTGGGTAGCTGTGGCACAAACCCTAACCCAGTCAAGAACTCCTCCAGGGAGAATGGGAGTCTCCTGGTGCTGGATGGAGTAACTGCGAAGGATGAATCATGTCACCTGTATCATGTTATATGTTTCTGAGCTGAGGGATGAGTGAGAACAGAGCCACAGGATCCATGGAGAGCCATTCAGTTGCCTAGCAAATTGTGAAAAATTGATTTTTTTTCATGTACGTCTTCAGACAACAACATGTAGACTTATTATGTTGTAAAGAAAGCATTAAAGCAGCATTGGGAAAAAGGATTTATTTTAGCAGTTCATCTTGAAACCTGCTATATATCACTATGAGCAGCTAGAAAAAGCTCCAGGAGGCCTCTACAGAAAGATGAAAAAATGTAAAACAAAACTGTGAACTACAATATTGAAAATCTGTTAAAGTCATTTGCATGCAAAGTAACTTTTCAGACCAGAAAAGCATAGAAGAATAGGTATCCTAGCATGTGCCTCTAGATATGTGAACTTTTATACTTTATTTTCCATTTAACTGCTTTCTTAATATTTTTGAGAATCTGCTGGAACAATATTTGTTTATAACAGGTCAATGGCCTTTGATCACAAGAAGGTTGTTGATCCAACCTTCACATTTACAGACCAGTAAATGTCAGTAAACACAGAGCCATTCTTTTTGTGATTCTGCGTAACAGTTTTTATTCTGAGCATAGGTTGGGATGGGGAGGAAGTATTGATTTGATTTGGGAAAATATAGATATTGGTTTCTGCCTTCTGATGTAAGTCGGTTAGAAAAAATCCCGTATCTTTTGTTTCAAAACAAACAGTGAACTTAAGAGCTGGGCTCTTTTCTGGTTTGAGATTTTTTTTCCTCACACACAAGGACAGTATCTTTCTTTTTTTTTTTTTTTTGCCAAATCTTATCTTTGCATGCAAATCCCAGGAATTTACATCAATTATAATTAAATGTAGATGCTATGCTGAATTAAAATCCGTTTGCCAGCTGGAGGACACACAGAGAAAATTCTTAAGGCCGTTACAGCTGTTCAGGTGATTAATCAAAACAACCAGCCCAGTGCTGGTCCACATAAGCATGTGCACAAAAGACAGCCTTGTTTATTGACAAGAGTAAAAATCTGAGGCTTCTGCTTTTTGAAATGTATGGTTGGTTCAATAGGCAATTAAAATTGCAGTCTGAGGAAAATAATTGATTTTTTTCAGAGGTCTGATTTTCAGAGTGGGAATTTCTTCCTTATTAAGGAGGGAGTTAATGTTTTGGATTTACAGCCCAGGCCCCCAGTAAAACCAGTCAGACAGGAGAGTTGTCATCAAGTCATCCGGTAGAGAACTCCCAGTCATTTTGCTACTGACTTATCTCCACATGACAGAGGCTGTTTGGTAGGGTAAATCTTGATCTCAAATCTGAAAAGAGCTGTCAAAACTTTGCCCACATCCTTAGGAAGCATCAGACCTCGCTCCTCCTGCCATCCCCAACAGATGCCTAGAAGATGTCCCTATCTTATCTGCTGCATGCATGGCCTGCAATGAAGGACAGGCCACGTCTGTACATCTGTGAAATGAGGAAATAGTCACCCTTAATATTGCTAATCCTCACACTCCTGGAGGCTCCCAGGAGGCTCTGTGTCCCCAGGCAGAGGGTTTGCTCTGGCAGCAGGACAGTAGATCCTGTGAAGTGCTGAGCAATCCCTCTTTCTTATGCAAAATCCCCAAGCATGTGGTGTTGCTCTCAGGCATATTGGTCAGACAGTAGCAGGTGAGATGTGGATTGTGTCAGTTGAAGATACAAAGCCTCCAAGACCACGTCTAGACTTCAGAGAAATGATGGTACCAGCATTCAGCTTAGGGCTTTCCACTAAGTTAAACCACCTGGAATCCTTACTATCACCTTTCCTTTATTAACTGCAGACAAATAGGGCCTGTTAACAGAGCAGACAGAATCTGTTAATAGGACCCTTGAGTAGCACTGATTTGTCAGCTAACAAATGATCTTTCTAAAGTACAAATAGGCAGGGAGATGAGCTCTGAAGTTTTTCTACATTGGGTAAAGAGATGACAGAAAGAAGGATGTAAAGGAGACAGGAGTGAAAAATCAAGCTGTTAGTATTTTTTAAAGGCATTATTTAGATGGACATTTACCATCTTTCTACCAAGTGCAGAGCACTAGGATTACCTTCCTGCATCCGGGATGGTAGTGGTGGCTGCATGTCTTGTGCCAAGAAACTCTTAGGCATAGAAAAAGTCAATGTTCAAAATACATTTTTGCCGGTGTAACCGCAAGTATTTGAGGTGTTTTTTCCAGCACAGCTGTGTTGGTCACAACAATCAGATTCCCCTGAATAACACAGCCATACTGGGTGTGCAGATGGGCAAGCCTGCCACTGGTCTAACTTTTCCACAGAACCTGCCCCCCACAAGTCCTGTGCAAATAGAAAACATTTAACTCATAATTATTGTAGCTAAACTACAACACGGATCACTATAAGCAGACTTCCTCTAAACCAAAATGCATTTCACTTCAGGATATTGCTTTAAGGTTATTGCTTTAACTCACCAGCCTTCACAACAGCCCATCAGGTTGTTCCTGAAAGTACTTTTAGATTTGTCTTACTGATAAACAGGAATAGAGAGACAAACAGAGCCAAAAGGCACAGAGTAATTAGCCCTTGTCTAAGACCATGCTGAGGGAGTCAGGGAAATTGGGGGCTGGTGGGGGGAGGTGGGGGTTAAGGGCTCTGACACTCCCAACCAACCGGTCTCTAGGTAATAATGCAAAAATTAGCTTTTCCTTCTAACTGCAAAAATATCATCTATATCTGCCAATAAATTCTTCGATTTCTGCTCCATTCATTCCTATAGCCCAAGGTTTTTTACACACTGACAAGCTCCTCTGTAATCATTTCCCTCGAAATCCTGGGACAAATTCCAGCTTTTCTTTGAGTTTTCATTGATAGAATTGATCACACATTTGAAGAACAGAAGGCAAAAACAAAGCCTCCAGCCAAGCAAACAAACCCCCAAATCTGGGGGGAATCTTATTTCAACACAATGCTTGGTATTTTTTCTCCCCTGCATGCTGCAATTCACTTAGGAGCTGAGTAATTGAATGAATAGTTTTTAGTTTGCTATTCTCTTCCTCATTTGCTTATGACTCATATACTTGAAAGAACTGCAGTTACTGTAATTTCACAGCTATGTGTATCTGGCTTATATCATGCATTTAATTGAAGGGAAAAAACAAAAACTGCTAATGAAAATGGAAATTACTGGCCTCCTAGTTTGTTGTGAGGAGGTTGTTTTCTTCCCCCCTCTCCAATAGTGATGAAATACCAGTCAAACAACTGAAATCAGGTTTTTGTAATTTCTTTCTGAAAAATGCAATTGCAAATTAGAAGTAGTACTTTATTTCTTTAATAATATTTTGTAAAAACTGATAGAAGGGAGGATTGCATCTTGTATTACATTTTCAGTCCCTCTCTGTACACACAGCATGGCATGGAAAATCTGCAATAGTAGTGTATTTTTCTATTGCCAATGAATGATACGGCTGATGAACAATACTAAATCTAATCTGTTAGTGCCTAGTTTTCCAAAACCAACCACCTGACTTTGTACAATCCTTTGAAATGGCTTTTCTCCCCTCTTAACCAAAGGGTTCATGGGAGAAGTTGATTAGGGGAATGAAAATAAAACTTTCATAGGCTTGTGAAGGGAGTCCCTTTGAACTAGTCCTGTTAAGTTAGTGGTGTCCAGTCAACTGCAGAGATATGGATGTGACCTGTTGTTCAGACTCCAGTGAGCAGCGTGGTAATGAAATAACACCACTGACCTGCCACGGCCCCCCTGGTTCAGGTTCCTTTAATCAACGCGATTCATTTCTCCCTTGCTTGCTTGCTGTCACTGCCAGCGGATGTAAACTGAACAGGGGTTGTGTGTGGCAGGGGTGGTGTCTCCCCGAGATACCGCAATCTCTTATCAGGAATACTACAGCCTTAGTGGAAGGTCAAGCACCTGCCTAAAAGTCTCAATTTCCTGCTTGATAACTGCAGCGATAGAGAAGATGGATCTTGTGAGCAGTCAAACAGAGGGATTGCAACAACAGAAAACAAAATCATCATCGAGGGCTTAGAAACACATCACTCAATAACTCTTTCTTTGTACTTCCAGGAAAAAAAAAACAACCACATTTTCTGGCTGTGTGTTTAAAAAGGTGTGCTTTAAAAGCATATATTAAAAATGCTTAAGAAACCATGGTCGAATAGAAAACTCCAAGCCTTAGAGATGTGAGTTCTGTGCAGCAATGCAGCAGAGTCGCCAGTCACAGAATGAACAAATTTATGTAGAAGAATGAGTTACTTTGATAGCATTAGTTAATTAAATCAAATTATAGTAACCTACATAGCACTACTACTCCCTCTTCCTTCCCCCTCCCTCCCGCCTCCCCCCTTTCTAAGAAACACATTTTTTTTGATAGGAGAGTTGAGTTTGTATGTCTTAATTTTTGTTTTCTACAACCCAGGAAAAAGCCTAAACGTTACTGACTACATTTCTTTATTTCAGTGACTGAAATGTCCTCGCCTGACCTTAGTTTAGAAATAGGATAGTGGGGAAGAAATCAGGATAGTGGCGAAAATATTAGACATGTCTATTAAAAAAAAGTAGAGAAATAGTTGTAACATCTCTACTGTTTCAGTCGCATTGAAGCTATCCTTTTCTCCATAAAAAAGCAAGGGCTTTTAAAACGCTTCTTAGTCAGATTAAAAACATCTCTAGTATAAAAGTACTGCACAAAAAAACCTCCTATCAGTAAGTTCACTTTTTAATCACAAAGATTAATTATTTAAAAAGAAAAAAAAACTTAAGTGCTTTTCAAAGCAAAGTGCAAAAAGCACATATATATGTGTGTATATGTATATCTGCAATTAGAAGAAAACGACCTTTTGTTTAGGAGCATAAGAAAAGAAGAAACACTCCAAGTAGAGGGTGAAGCTGCACTGTAGTTCCTAGGTAGAACACGCTGAGGTGCAATGCTGCCGCCTCGGCCATCCGAGTGCCATTCCCTGTCTATTTTGTTCTTTGGCAGCTGAGAGAAAGATAAACCATAGTAACCTTCCACCCTCTGTGCGGGAATTAAAGTGTGACAGCTGTGCTAAGGCCCTGCTTCACAGCTGTGATCAACCTGAAAATGGCATTATTTATCTGAGGTGACCATCAGTAGTCTGCACTGGACCAGACTTCGAAACATTCCCTTTTATCTGAACACAGCTGTCACTGACATAAACAACCTATGAGGGAAGCAGCAAATTAAAAGTTCTTTGTGTATCAGGAAAGCACAAACAAACTGTATTTCACAGAGAGAGAAAGAGAGCCTTAAAACAATCTAATAAAAATTCCCCTGTGTTTACAGTTGGCTAGGACAGGCAGGAAAACATCATGAACTTGGCAGAGTTCAGGTGATGGACTTGTGATAAACAGCCATGAAATTTCTCCTTGTAGGACGCAGGGCAGGTTCTTGTTACTGAAGACTATGGTTTTTGTTTAAGGGACTGCACATACAGCTCATTTTCTGGAATTTAGCTGCAGGCAGAGGCTTTGTGTCACCCATGTAATGTTCACAGAATCTTCTAGGTTGGAAGGGACCTTAAAGATCACCTTGTCCAACCGTCAATGTTGAGCTGGGACAGGACAGCACCTCACAGAGGTGGCCAGGAGGGTACATCCGTGAGGCATCCTGGCACTGCCAGCAGCCTGGTAAGATAAGCTCGTTCTCAGTGCAGATGGCATGAGGCTTTTTTGTAACTTACTTTCTTCTGTCCCAGGAAACACCTGCAAGGAACCCTTACCTCATATTTTCCTTTCTTCTCCAAGGGCTCAGATTCAGTCTCTGCAGGCGCTGTAACTTTGTCCCCTAGAAGTTCCTCTAGGATGAAGACAGTTTCCCAGTTGCTATAGTGACGTGCTGGGAAAATATCTGAGTGCATGCTGTCACCAAAATAAACAACCTATGAGGGAAGCAGCAAATTAAAAGTTCATTGTACATGAGGAAAACACAAGCAAACTGTATTTCACAGAGAGAAAAAGAGCTTTAAAACAACCTAATAAAAATTCCTCCGTGTTTACAGTTGGCCATGACACACAGAGATCTAATTAATGTCACCGTTTGGGGTTTTATCTTCAATCAGCTCCGTAAGGAACAAGCTGGCCCCGCACACCCTCCTTGCTCTCACCCTCCAGAAGCATTGAACAGGGATGCCTGGCTGGGACCGGCACCGAGATGCTGCTGAGATTTTTGGCTGACAGAAATATCCTGCCAGGAAGCAGTGGAAAAGACTACCAAGAGAATACCCTAAACAATGGGAATGAATTTTGGACAGCTTTGGAAACAAGGGAGAACACAGACGATGTCTTGGTGACTCAGAACTCTTCTGTGCCCAGGGAGTAGTTTACCCCTTAGGGAAAACGTGGTCCCACTGTCTTCAGTGGTACTTTCACCCATCCAGACTTGTAATTCAAACAACATGATCCTAGTTTTCAGGGATGCCACCATTTAATTTATTTGATTTGTTTCCTCAGTGAGATTGTTTATTTCCTGGTGGCAATCTGATTCCCCTCAAAACTGCAGAAATGCATGACCATGCACAGAGAATAAAGCATCTAGAAAGTTTACATACTTTACCAATAAGAAGACTTATATGCTGCTTCCCGTCCTGAACTGGTGTCTATTAGACAACAGCAAGCATAACCAGAACAAAAATTTGTCACCAATCACATCAATAGCTTTAATGAAAGCCTGTCTGGAGAATTTTAGACTAAAACAGGGTATTTTCAGAAAGATTTACTGTCACTTATACCTTGGGATCCAACTTGCCAGTCATCTTCTTCAGTAGTTCATACAGCTGGATGACATTGCCTTGGGAATACCAGCCGGGCTTGTCCAGTGATAGCAGAGCCTCCTGCTCCTCGTCATTCTCTGAAATCACCAAGGAAAATTGCACACTGTTAGTGAGAGCAGCCCATGCTCCTGTATTTGTGAGACATGTGAGAAGCTGCCTGTGCACAGCTTGGAGATCATGGTCTATTTTGACATTAAACCAGTTCCAGTGTCTGGCTCAAGTCCTGGTACTGACTGCAGGTTCAGTCAAGGTGTTTGGTAGCTGGGGCAGGCAGGCATTTGTTAGAAAAGCAGCTAAGCATCATCTGCAAGGGCTACAGAAGAGCTGTAGGACTCAAAGTCAGGCTTTGCCTCCCAAACACTGCAGCAGTGAAGGCAGGAAACCACATGGACCAGACTGATGGAGAAGCTGCTACAGATCTAAGGTGAAACCATGAGGTAAGACAGACCGTAAGAGACACCAACTACCTTTCCCCACAGACAAATTACCTACTGCTTTTAAGCACCAATATAAATACAACAATTCGTCAGCCTTAGATCAGCACAAGCAATGAGCAGTTCCAGTTATCACCCAGTCTTGAAGAAATGATGCGCGGACAATATCGCTGCTGGTGGTGTAATCCACGTTGGCATACATCCACACTGGCAGCTGTCAGTGAATCAGAAAAATCAGCAGAAGCTGAAACCCCCCCAGCTGTGCCACAGGCTTCAGTCCCAGCTGGTCCCAAAGCAGCCAGATCTCAGCCACATAACCCTATTGCTCATTCAGATCCATGTGCTATTGCTGGATGAACTCCCTTTAGCTTCTGGCTGGAGCCAAAATAGTAGCCTTAGTGAACTGATGAACTAGAATGTCACCAGAAATATTAATATTAATATCTTCTGTCTATTGAAGTGGTTAAACAAAAGGGTGATTTTGTTATTCAGTCTCAATCAAACATGTCTTATTTTTTATGCTACAGATAGAGCTGTTAGAAGCCAATCTAGCTCTTTGATCGGACTTAGGTACAGCATCAGGACTTCAGTTTTTCTCCTGCTTTTTAGAATTGTTTTAAGTGCTTAAAATGTGCTAGGAAGAAGACTAAGCATAAACTTCATTTCAGAGAGTGCTGAAAACGGGAATGCAAATTTTGGAGAAGAGTGAAATGACAAAACAGCTTTATGTTTAAGAGCACTGAAGGTGTACGTGGTGCAGTACATTGGTCCTTGAAAAAAAAGAAGCAAACAGAGGGAAATAGGTACATAGAGAGAGGCAGTAAATCATTCTTTAATATTATGAATCTAAGAATTTGAATAAACACAGGATTTATTCTTAGACAAAACAATTCTATATAAAGGGTGTTTTTTAAACTAGGAAAAACCAAGGAAATTCAAAGTTGACACTAACAATTCATGTGGAACTTGTATGCAAATGTCTTTTCTTTGTTCTTCTCCAGAAACCTAATGATGATGATGATAATAATAATAATGATAGCATCCAAAAAAAATAATCTTAATTTCCTGAGTTTTAAAATACTGTTGACCAAATAACTTTCAACCAAACAGAAGTTGTCAAACATCATCAATTTTTTTTTATTTTCCCTCTATTTTTAGGCATATTTGTAAGTCTGGCTGAACAAGCAGACACAATCTTCAGACAATATGGACATAGAAAAAGTAACTTATGAAAACAACTCTTTTCAGCTGCTATTAAAAGTTTCTTGAAATTTGTGAAGTTTTGTATAGCTATCATTGTCTCTCCATTCACTCAATCAGAAAAATAGAATAGAAAAATGGAACTATTATAAGAGGGATTTTCAAAATAACAACATTGCATTTGCAAATAGGAGCCCTATGTATTTCAGCAGCACGAGAAGGCTCCAGCAAAGAGCAAGACCTTGCTTCTGCCTCTATGGAAAGGCATGAGGGGCAGTCCTGACTGAAAAAATTCACTCTAATTACAAGGTAGAAGATCTCTCACTCTGAGATCTATTACTGTCACCCCTAGCAATGGGACTCATCTCACTTAACTCAATGCATCCGGAATTTAGGCTTCTAATTTACAGTTACAATCTGAACTAGTTGGCCAGGATCCTCTGGTTGGGAAAAGAGCGCGAGAAGCACTTTACAGAGGTGCCAGGTCTGGAGAAGGAAAGGATTTAATGAAGTTAGAAACTTCACTTTCAGGCAGTGACATGAAGGGAAATTTCAAAGCCTGGTTTCTTCCTCTATGCTTGGAGGCAGCAAACAGCATCGAGATGTCTAATTCATTATGGGAGCTCCTTGATTTTGGAAGGAGCTTCAGAAATCTGAGGAACTAGAAAAGGTCCTTTATAATATTTTGAGTTGTAGGGTTATAGAGATAATGACTCTGAATGGGCAAACCTTGCCTCAAACATCTCATATGGCTGCTTATGCTCACACATCCAGGGGCGACCTTGTCAATTTTATTTCTGTAATCTGAAGTGGGAACAAATGAATGGTGTTTCAGTTGCAGTAAGCCATTAATGAGAAGGGTTTCCAATCCATTTACCATGTCCCTGTTGCAAAATGTTGTCAAGAAAATTATTCTTCAACACTGGGTCTTAAGGCCTCTTGTAGTAGTTGTGCCATGTAAAAATTGATGTGCAACAACTTAAAAACCATTGGCTCTGGCCTTGTATTGTATCCTTCAGACAGCAGCTACATGATGGCACTGAAGACTTCTGCTAATTTCCTGGAAAAATGCTGCATAAATGTGATTATGGTAGTTCCTAATATATTTTGGATATTCCACGCCTAACATTGGCTACACTCAGATAAGAGGAAAACTGCCGCTGACCTTCCTTCCACTTTGCTGTTATTGATTCATACAAGTTCATTCAAAGGTCAGAAATGCTATAAATATTCCTTCACCAGGAAGCAACACATATATAGGCGGGGATGCTAATGCTTCAGGGTCTTATAAGCTGGGAGGAAAAGGAGACATCCTGACAATTTTAAACAGACTGGATAACCAAGAAGAATTTCTTAGATGATTTAGATAGAGCAACTTGCTTCCTTCTGAAGTCTAATATATCACTGCAACCTGGATTCCTGTAGACTGAAAACGTGCCACGACAAGAAATGTAAAGGTAGCAAGCAAGTAAAACTAAAATAATTAACTCCAGAAAATCATTCCATTAAAATACTTGCCCAAACCTCAACAGTGATTCAGAGCAGTTTTCCTGGGGGGAAGTTACTGTTCCTTTTTAAAAACAACAACAAAAGCTTGACTCATGCTGGGGCAATATTAATAGTGCTGGAATGGCAATTTGCATATTGGTGTGTCTAACAACTTGGGAAATGTTTTCTGATTCAGAAATGTACTCCCATCACCAGATACACAGATACGTTTTTTCAGATAAAGCAATTCACTTAAAAGAGTTAATATCCTTTTTCTTGTAAGAATTTTCTTGTGTGCCTTTAAAAGTGTGTTGCAGGTTTATAACATGGACTGAGGAACATCTGGTTTCATTCTGAATGAATATGCAAAAAGTAATCAGTGAAGCTTATACCGATTTAAATGATAACTGATGGTATTTTACTTTGGCACGCTTGCTGACTGCTGTCTGCTTTGCTACCCGTTCATGGGTGGTAGCCACCGAGATGGACACCTAAACACATGCAGTGCAGTGGTTGTGGCCCAGAGTCTGAACCTGGAGCTCTGTCCCTAACCTGGCTGGTGTTTACACCAGCCCATGCCACGAGGCTCTCATTTGGGAAGCCTGAGGCTAAGAGAGAAGCCAAGAGGTGAGGGCAAACTTAAGCTTCTGTAGTTACTCACCTACACTCAACCACACCTACATTGAGGATCATTTCCATCAGCTCACTAACCCTGAGGCCACCACCCTGTGCTGCTCCTCCGGCTGGGAGGAGTGGTGGCTACACACCAGGGTGAGGACCCACGAGTGATTCACCCTAGAGCCTGAGGACACCTCGCACCTACTCGACTGGTCAGAGCAGGGTCAGAAAGCAGCCCCGAGTACCCAGAGGCCACACCAGCTGCAGATGCGCTCGGTGTAGCTGGGGTGTATGTACAGCTCCCCAGCAGCCCCTTCTCCAGCCTTCCCAGCTTTCTCCTGACAGCCTTTTCCTCATTTCCACACAAATCCAGCTAGAGTGGCTATCAGGGTTACTGGTATATTCTGTTCCTTTGAACTGTGCAATAGAATTGAAGCACGTGGTGACTGTTTCTGCTCGTGCTGGTGCCTGTTCCTGCCTCTCCCTCCCGATGGGCAGCTCTTGTGGGCTCTCACCGCAGACGGGCACGTGTGTTCAGCACACTGAGGCCCTGGGTACTGCCCCAGGGGGCGACTGTAAAACAACTGTGGTTTATGATCCGCGACTATCACACTGATATGCCTCTCTGCAATTTAAAATAATGTCATTCCAGGCCCCGAGAGCATTAATATTAAAGTCGGGTTACGCTCCAGCCTGGCTTGCAAGCACAGTCTGATTCTAGATGGCATTTCAAGCTCACTTCAGAAACACAAACTCTCTTTTTCCAGGAGGGGACTCAGGGCAGGAAACCCCATCGTTTTACAGTCGAGACGAAGGGACCTGCATAAGTAAAATCGTTCTGGTGGCTTCTTCCAGTTGTAAAGGTAATGAGAAGGGATGACACAGAGTGCAGAGCTCCCCTGTGGGCATGCTCTCCATGAAGAAAGCAGTTACCTACAAGTTTGCCGTGAGTAAAATTTCATACTCTATGGGCACCATTCTGTAGGGTAGTATCCCAAATTCCTACACCCAAAACCTGGGTGGTTTCCAGGGTTCAAGCAGGTACAACTGCGTGTTTTGCCATCCCTGAATTACTTCTGTGCCCTGGAAGCAGCTGGGAAATCCATCTGCCCAGCGCTTGCCAGTCTTCTCTCTGACTGGATGACTGCAGGGAAGCGATAAGGAACAAATTATTCCTGTAGCATGATGTGCTAAAAGGAAAGGTTAAGGCTTCCCAAGGTGACTAGTGATTTTGGCCGTCTCCTTTTTTGTCTGTCCAATCTGATTTTTTTTAGGAAAACCCTGAATATCAGCTCTCCTTCCTGCCCTTGCATCATTCTGCCTTTCTGGGGGGTGCC